GACAAAATACTTCTGTCTGCTTTGATGGTATGCACAGGGACTCTATCCTCAGAAGCTCCAGCTATTTGGTAGGTGCATTTTTTTTCAACTTGCGTTCTAAATGAACTTTTTGTGATCAGAAAATCCTCAAGGAACTTGAGAATTTCTTCAAAATCTAGAATGAGGCAGCTTTAAGAATTATCAATTATCGTCTTAATATCTAGCATTATTTTCTTGGATATTATGACCTTCACAAGGTAATCTTGTTGTAGAAGCAAGAAATGGTGACAAAATACTAGCTTGGTATAATACAGAAATAAGTGCAAAAAGCTTTTATCTGCTTCATCCTACTCTGATCAGGTCCGGAATTTTATCCTGAAGATTCCGTTTAAATCTAGATACCTTTTCAGTGTATTCTAAAGGTTTACTGAACCAAGCCATACAAACTTGTAAAGGAGGTTCTGCCCTCCACGAATATTTGATATTTAGCCGAACGAACCCCCAGGAACGAATGATACTTTTCGTCATCCTTACAGCAGAAAGCTTCCATAATTCCCAGAATTTCGATTCCATCGTAATTGTCATGGAATAAGGCGTGATCTAGTTACGTTTTCTGAAATAATTATTGCTTCATTTTTTTTCAAGACTAGTAGTTAATAGTATTATTTTTTATTATAATTTTTTGGAATGTATCTATTAGATGAAGAATTTTTAACTCGTCAAAATAATAAATTGGCTTGTTCTCTTTGACCTATTGTGATCAGACTATTTAGAGTCATTTGATAGCAATACAGTTCTTAAAAATCGCACTTCGATTTATTTTTTTACGTGCCGAGACTTCGTATTTCATGCGGAAGTTTTAGTATAACTTCTGCCCAGTTTTGATGAAACCCACTCTATGGAAGAAGAAAACTTAGTGCGCCTTAAGAGTAACCGATCAATGGCGCCTCAAATACTGAGTTAGCATAAACGTTTCAACGTTGTCAATATACAAGAATTCGGTGACATCATTCATGTATTTGAGAATGGTATCTATTAAATCTCGTATATTTTACTATTATTAACCCATGACAATTACACTGAACTAATATTGATTTTCCGCCCAATTGATTGTCTGCGACTGAATGCTAAAGTATAAACGAATAGATTTTATTTAAAAATACTATTGGCTGCCATTGCGTAATCCCATTCATTAAATCTTGACGACCCTAGATTGACGAGTGATAATTGTTGTTTTCTTACTCTGACATGCTTGCAGATTAACAACTTATTAACTCATTTAGACCTACATTCAGTCTTACGTATTCCCAATCATGCATTTCCTTAACCAATCACGTTTTAATCAACCAGGGGCGAGGTTATGTACTATAGTAATTGCTGATAGGTAATACTGGAATTTCGTGATATTATTTATAGACGTACATACGCAAATATGCACAACCTTCGGCTTATATGCACTGTGGTTAAAATACGAAAGAGCTAACCAAATCATTGTATCTCTTTACATCTACACATATTCTGTTTTTAATTGTGACTATATATATCATACACGATATAGCCGGCTAGTCTTCTTCACTTAGTGCTACAGTTGCGAAGTCAGGGCAAACAACTTATATGCAACCAAATGAGACCATATTGGTCTTCATACCTTCGACTACAGAACAACTAGGCTCAATCTTCATATTCATGTAAGCCCAACCAACAAATCTCTTCATCAGCCACTCTCACACGAAATGAAGGATCCATTAAAAATTATCTCAGAAGAGTCATAGCAACCCAGTTGCTTCTCTTATATAAACATCTAAATTCATTATGTACTACTTTGATGGTTCATCCAAAGATAGCATTTGTATGAGAGAATTTGGCCTTTCTATTGCCTAGTATATAGTGAAACAAATTAATATTTATAGCTCAGGGTCTAATTATTTTAATTAACGCATTTTTTGCCTTATATTCCTAAATATTTGTTTGAACCCTGCAGAAGAATTTAGATTAAATTATCTTCTTATGCCAGACTTCTAGTGCATTTTAATATTTTTTTCAGCTGCTTTGATTTTACTTAAACTCCACAATGAGAATGACTTTACAGACATGCAACATTATGAAAAATCGTTTACCTACAGGTTGATTATCTTGTAATGTGATACAATACTCGACTTCTTGAAAATGTGAATGTTTTGATTTTTTAAATTTGACTCATCTTTATAACCTTATAAAAACAACTAGCCCTCTTGTACCAAAGATATTTAGAGCGATTGGCTTATGAGATTTCTCTAGGCTAACAAGTATCATTTATCGGTCTTCCTTGAGGCGTTGGTGGAATACTTCATTGATCCTCTTGCTTGATTACTTACTTTTAGATAGTTTGCTATCTTGGAATTGTGGGCGAATGCAATGTACAGTTTGCTATGGATCCCGACTCCACTGCCTACTACGTGATTGAAGTAAATGCACGTCTTTCTCGCAGTTCCGCCTTAGCAAGCAAAGCGACTGGCTATCCACTTGCCTACGTAGCTGCCAAGCTCAGCCTTGGCTGCCGATTGACAGAGATGACCAATATAGTAACGGGGCACGCTACCACAGCTTGTTTCGAGCCAAGCCTCGACTACTGTGTAGTCAAGATGCCCCGTTGGGATCTGGAGAAATTCTCTCGAGTTTGTTTTACCGGATTTACCTCACTGTTTATTAATTTTTTTCTATGATCTACACTTTTTTAATTATTTCTATTATCAATACAAGATTTTGTTAAATTTATTTGTAAGCTGTTCGAGCTACGAACAAATGCTACCTTTGCGAAAGAGTCATTTCGTGTGATAAGAGCAGTTGTATTTGAAATTGATTATTTTTTTAAGTATAAGTGATATTAATTATATCATTTTTTATGCTATGAGGGTTTTTAATAAACCTAAATAAGTATATTAAGCTTAGATATTTGAAACCCGATACACTAACTTATTTGCCACTGCTATTTTAAGAGAGTCGCTTTATTTATTTTAGTGACTTCTTCCTTTTCCACTACTAGGTGAGTAGAAAAATAGGCAGCTCCATGAAGAGTGTTGGCGAAGTGATGGCAATCGGACGTTGTTTCGAGGAGGCCGTTCAGAAGGCTCTTCGAATGGTCAGCGACCGATATCCGGGCTTCCAGCCCCTTGACCGTCGCCTCAATTCCACTCGTTCTTCATTCCACCGTGTCGACTCATTGACTGACAGCGAAGAAGGTTTGGCTACCGAACTGGCTGAACCCACAGATGAGCGTATCTTTCTGTTAGCCAAGGCTATCAAGTCAAAATGGCCATTGAAGCGACTATATCAGCTGACAAATATTGATCTCTGGTTTCTGCAACGCTTTTCACTCATTATTGACTGTCTCAAACAGTTAGAGGAGGTAAAATAATCGTAATTTACAACTTTGTTGATCTTTACATAATTTTTTTCATCAGTTAGCAATAATTCGCTTAATCAGATTAGAGTTAACATTTGAGTAAACAATATCTCTTATGCGTTTAAAATTTTATAATTTTTGAATAGGACACAACCTTTCAGAATCGTTTATAGGATGCAACCTTGAAATATAATCCTAATTATGAGGTGTATTTACCCTTTTTCATTTAAGGTGATAAAGGGACTGATAGTTGAATTTTCCCACTATTATATAAGTAAACCTTACGTTTCTATTGAATTTCACATAGCCTTTCTTCCCAATGGTATTCTCATCTAGGATGGACTGCAGTTTCGACCTCGCCTAAGTCTCATCTGCAACCACAGCGGGACTCGAACCATGACGGTGCAGCGTATAGCCTCGACACATTAACCACTATGCCACATTGCCACGAATGCCCTTGGGTCACAGGGTAAATGTGCATTTCAAGAAAGGCCATGCATTTTCCCATATCACATTCTGTGTTGGGATTGCCCATGAGGCAATGTTGTATTTGCTATAGCAATCGACTACGCTACTTATTTTAGTCTATAAGTAGGTTTTCGAAACTACCAATAGATCATTCATATATTAAGTGCGTTTACCATATTTCTTTTACGGTGTCAAGGGGATTGGTAGTTGAATTTTCCAACAAACCCCACTTATAAACGAAAATTAAGTAACGTAATCGATTGCTATAACAAATACAACTTAGTATCGACAACTACATAATAGAATGTGATATGGAAAAATGCCTGGTATTCCTTAAAATTCACATCTTTTCTTTGAGCCAAGGGCACTCGCGGCAATGTGGCGTAGTGATTTATGTGTCGAGCTTACCCGCTGCACTGTCATGGTTCATATCAGGCAGGGGATGTTGATAAGATCTAGGCGAGGTCGAAGCTGCAGTCCACCTTGGATGGCAATAACATTGAGAAGCAAGACTATGAGAAATTCAATGGAAAGGTAAGGTCTACTGATATTATTGTTGAAAAATGCAACTATTAGTCCCCTTATCATATTAAATGAGATAGGATTAGCACAACTCATGTTCATAATTTCTATTTTGAATGAAAATGTTTGCTTATTCCTCTCTAGATGCTCTTTAAGAAAATGCTGTCGGAAAGTAATAAAATATTGAAAATTAATGCGTGCCTTAGTAAATAAAAAGTTCTGTTGAAATGTGCCCTCGTTTTTTAGCCTATTTGACAGGTAATCATTAATTTTGCGCACTTTCACCTCATCATTATTCCTTTACTCTTTTATTTTATCAAGACAACTTAAGTATCGTATTGAACCTGCCTAAGGTGATTACTGATGGGTTATAGCTGGTGGTTTCGTAACCTGACTTATACTCGTACGGGCTTACATATGATCATCTCATCTCTTAATTAAACCCACCTGAAAATCGTATTAAAGACAAACGGATATAGAACAACGGTAATTAACCGTCTTCTGGAGAGTGTAACCAAGGCATATCTTCATCATAGACTTTCATACAAAATGGAAGTCTCCACCACAGATATTTTAGGAATTGATATAAAGGGATCATAACTGATGTTAATAGATGCAATACTGATGCCAGCTAAACTTCGTAGATTTTAATTATTTGTGACTTATCTATGCTTCCAAATTTAATAACTTTTTGTTATGGCTCTTTCACGGAAAAAAGGCATTGCTTTTTATGAGATTTAAATATAATGTTATATATCTATTTGTTCAAAGCCTTGATATCAAGTTTCATTCGTAGTATTTTTTTACTACTGTTTTCCCAGGTCCCTGACGGAGCACTTACTATTTGCTTACGTGTGCTAGGGGCCTGTAGTGCAACTACCATCATACCAGATGATACTGAAGCATATCCTGCCGATATTGGCCAGGTCTGGTCTTGGCTAGTTCTCTTG